CTTCAAAGAGGATTTACGATGTGGCTGGAAATATGTCCATTCCACAGATGTTTGACATTTCTGTCTGCTGGCACACAGGAAAAACTGACCCTGAAGAAAAGGTGTATGTCTTCATTTTAATTCAATGCAATTGAAATGTAAATAGCATCCACTAGCCACATAATTAACCCTCAGGTGAAATATAGTTGCAGTAGTAAGGATAGGGCCTGAGTGGGGCAGAGCAATATGGCTTAAGAATAAAATTACTTTTTTTACTTTTTTTTTTCATACCAGGTTTTAATACTTGCGTTCTCAGAAGGAAACTACAAATGACATCAAATATTTTCAAAAAGTAATGATTTATATCAATCATCCCTTCTGTATGATGGAGGATTAGGTAATCACAGATACGTCTTCAAAATATATAGACTGAGCATGTTTTAACAGCAAGTAATTTATTTTTATTTTTATAGGAAATGCTAGATAGTCAATACACTTTTACTTTGCTCCGACAAAGAGAAGCAATTCAAATCAAGCTATAGTAATGCTCTTATTTCAGGACTCCATAGTGACCAATGCCAAGGATTTGTTTATTTATTCCTCAATTGTATTTTTAAATGAATAAATTGTGATCTTACTCCAGCTGATAAATGAATTTTAGTTTCAGGTCTTACCTATCTCTACTTTTGTTGTCTTTTCCTTTGGTGAGGCTCGTATGACGACATACAAGTAAACATTTCAAAACAGATCTACCAATTGTCCTTTGTGATGGAGTGATGTGTCAATTTTTAATACTCTATGGAGTATTAAAAACTGACTGTATTTTAGGCAATGCGGTCATTTCTATAACAGCAATGGGAGAAGAGATTTGCGTGATGACGGTCTCCCAGTTTGAGTTTGCACTTTTTCTTTCTGATTCCAGTCTGGGGTGTGTTGGCTCAGAGCTGAGGGATGGGGAGGGGAAATGGAGAGCTGTTTGATGGTCCGGGCTTATTAGCTTGAAATATCCAGGAAACAGCTGCACCATTTCCGCAGCAACACCTGTCAGCATGGCGTGGAGCTGTCGACATGTGCCTTGTGTCAGAGCCTCCGTATCTGAGGGGCCTCGTGTTTACGGACCTTTGGTAGCATGCACACGCTAACACTTTAACACACAGTTGCTTTCTCAGCTAACGCCCTGGCATGTGCAGCATCTAGTATATGTTGCAGAACGTCTGATCTTTGATGCTAAATCGCTCACATGAACACAGCCTCCCCTTCCCCCATGCTTTAAGACTTCTTTGTCACACGTTTGGGTTGACAGCTTCCTCGCAGCTTCCTGCTAATTCCCGCATCTGAAATCTGGAATTTTCTGTAACTATGACAACAGCAGTGGTGGAGACAGTGGATTAGATGGTGTGTGCTGCTGTGGGGGGTGTGGCAGCTGCATTTGAGTGAGAACTGTGGGCTGCTTATATGGGGGGTGGATGATGTGTGTGGAGGGATTGGGGTTATGCTGGCATGTTGTTATTTTATGTGTGCTGCTGTGTGCTGGTGGGGGTGAGGGACGCCCTCACACCACTTTACACCAGAGGGTTTTGAATCTCCTGAAAACACAAATATTTAAGGTACAACTCAGATTTACTCATGATTCTTTGAATAGTTTACATGATTTTAATGCCGTTAATTGTTGCTTTGGATGTTGTTCTGCTCTCCTCCTGCTACTTGTCAATGAACCAGTTAACCTTGTCTATTTAGTTGTCTAAATTCACCCCTTTCTTCATCCCTCAGTTTATCATTCCTTGCTTCATTCCTGTCTCCCCAAAGCCCCCCTCTTTTCCCCCTGTCTGACTTCCATCCTCCCAGCTGAGAAAACAGGGCCGGAGAGCACTTGGCAAGAGACGCGGGGAGAGACAGAGGAGAGAAGGGTCTTTTCAGATCAAGAGACTAAAAAAGAGTTTTCAGCATTCAAAGGACACATTGTGCTCTTGGTCCACATTGCTACAGCTCCATCTCTGCGATTCAACTGAGCCAGCAGCCAGCACATTACTGTGTCTCCTTAAATCAGGGTAGCGTTAGCCGTAGCTACGTTCAGGCTTCGACGCTCTTCCTCGCTCCTCTGCCTGTCTGGCCTCCATATTATCTGAGCCTGATGGGCGCATTCCTCTCAGCTGAAATGATAAATGAAAACAGACTTTATGGAAACGGGGCTTGAAGTTTGGTAACTTCAGAGTGTTTGGTAAGATCCAAAGAATCCTGGAAAGGAAGCATGAGGACAGCATGTGTTCATTCTTAATCAGAGCAGGATATTTGATGCTTGATTCTGCGGAGGACCGGTATTTTTAGAGCTGGTTGAGGTTTTTATTCCTCTCCGTTTCCCCTAATTACTTTTTATTGAGACATCTATCAAAAGAACAACGTATTTCCTGACTCTGCCCGGGCACAAATCGCATTCTTTTGACAAAATAAGCCTCTATACAGGGTGTCATTCAGTCTCAGTGCTAAAGTCCAGGGGTAAACTGGTCTTTGTGTTTCCACCAGTGCATATTCACAGAGCAGTGCTCTGTCCTCCAACATGTGGTGACACAGAGACAGCTGCAGGATGGGAGGAAGGAGGACAGTGGAGGGAGGTGGGGGGCAGGGGGGCGGCCAGGGAAGGAAGGAGAAAGGAAACCAGTGTAGGAGGATGGGGACTGCGGGAGAACTCCTTCCTTTCGCCTCACCTCTGAAGGGTTAAAAAAATAACAAAACACGCGGGAAACTCGCTTCCTCTCCCGCCACTAGCAGCCAAAAGCGTCACATCCTCCTCACATTACATAATGTTTTCTTATTCCAAGCTCAGATACTGAAACTTTTATTTTTGCTTTTGTACTATGGAAAAAAAAACATCAGAAAAAGACGACTTTTTGAAAAAATCTGCTCCTCTTTTTTCTTTTTTTTTACTTTAAGGTGCTTCCAACTTTCTGCGACTCATGTCTGCAGAATGTGAGCAGGTTCCTGTTCAAAGAAGTGTAAATGCTTACTTAGCTGTTTTTCCAGACTTTCTAAGTTTACGGTCGACATCCGGCATCCAATCATCATGTGAGTCGATGTTTTATTTCACACTGAAACGTGTGAACTCCTCTTGTGCAACTAATGCAAGACAAATTATTATCAATTCGATTCAAAGTTAATTTCAGCCATATTTTTTCTTTCTTTGCGTGTTGACTATTTATGACTCATGTTACTACAAAGCATGTTTTCCATGGGCTTGTCTCTGTTTCATTCACTGGAGATCCGTAGTGCGGACCTCCACTGTTCTGCTTTGTGTCCATCCTCTGTGACTGATATTGTAAAACACAGTCAGGTTATTGTCTACGTCCAGTCTGAAGCTCCTCTTCTTTGCTGTACTCTGCTATAACGTCGCTGCTTTCGGAGGCCTTTACAGTATATCGGTCTGTGTCTAATGAACAAGAATGTGCTTAATTGAGTGAGCTATGGTGGCGGGGCACAAAAGGGGGCAACACCAGAACAATCTCCTCATTCTGCCGTCTCCTCCAGGGAAAATGGGTGACCCACGAGGGCCTCTGTGAGTCACAGGATGACAAACATCAGCTGACAGAGTAACTCTATCTGCTAATAGTCCACGCATTATTCCCCTGTGAGAATACTTCTTTAGTTTCCTTCGATTGTTGCCCAGATTTAGATCAGGCCCCGTACTACGGATCTCCAGTGAATGAAACAGAGACAAGCCCACGCTGCTTCGTTGCCTCTGACTCATCGGACTGTGTGGGGGGAAGTTCTCCTCCATGTTTCCTGCATATGTCTCCCTGGGTTGCCAGGTCTGGCTAATGGGTGAACTTGTTTGCCTTTTTGTGGCCCGGAGCTGCGGCCAGTGATGGCCACTTCTGGGATCAGTAATGAAGACGTGTGGTGAAGAGCATAGAGGTGCTGGGGCTGACGGTTGCCATGGCAACCCTGTAATACATCTAGGGACAGGAGGTAAATGGAGCCATTTTGGGTTTGTGAGTCTGTAGTGACTGGTGCTGGAAAAACTACAGGCTCAAATGAAGAATGGTTTAACATTAAAAACTGACAATTTTATTTCTTGAGGCATGCCAGATGTTTCACAGCTGTGCTTTCGCAGGTGTTCATGAAACTCAGACTAGAAAAAAAATACTTTATTCACCACTGAATTGGGTGTGATGCCTTTTAAGTGAACAGTATAGGTCACTGCCGTCCCTCCAGCTGCTTGGTCTTTTCTTTTATTCCCCCAACATCTGCAGCAGCATGTGGCAGGCTGCTCCTTTTGTTATGCACAGCGATGTATCATGGGCTATTTATAGGTTGTTGTGAAGGGCACAAAGAGCCTGAGTGCTGACTGCTATGATCTCTGTTTGGGCTTCTGATTTTCACATGAATAAACATATCATGTCACTAATTTCCCAAAAAATAGGGAAAAGAAACTGCATTACACTGAAGTACACTTTAAAAAAAAAAAAAACATTAAAATTATTTGAGAATTTGATGACTGAGCAATATGGGACAGAATGTGATTAAGAAGTCTTTGGTGGTGCCCACAGCACTGCGGTATGACTTAAAGATAGCCAAGAATGACTGTTAGTCTTTCTGTGAGACACTCTGGGTCACAGAGTGAAAGCAACAAATAAAATGGAATAATGATAAATTAACATTCAGAAGCCCAAAAGGAAATCCAAGAACATTACACTTTCATAATTACAGCTATTATAAGACATCCAGACTCTTTGCTCTGTTTTTCTATGTTTTTTTTGTGGATTTAGTGGTTCATATTCAGTTTCTTTGAAATCACCTCAACAATTCGAGGCTATTGGGTTTCAGGGAATAAATGCTTGGTTAAGTTGTGTTAAACCCTTTCATTTTGGTTTGATTCCATTTGTCTTTCATAAAATTATAAAAACAGATATATAGAGTTACTTCCCTGCACTGTTGCATTAAAGCTGCTAAATGTCACAGAAGCAAATCCTACTTTGAATTCGTTAATCTACATTTACTGTGAACAGAATTAAAACAAGCAACGTACATTTAAGGTTTTTCAAATGATTTCTTTTATTTGAAATGTCAGTGTCCAAGAGAAAATAAAACAGAAATATAAATATTAGCATAAAAATAAGAGAGTAACACAGGGGTGTAGCGTGGGGAAAGGGCAAAGCGTTTTATAAGAAAGATAATACAGCAGGATAGAGTAGTATTAATTCAGCAGCGGACGGACTTACACATATATAATATTTATAATCATTTGTTCATATGGACAGAAAGAGAATGAGAGGCATTATTTCACAAATGCACAAGAGAAAAATCACCGCAAAGTAACATTAAGAGGTTACAGAAGGATAGAAAGACGTCCATATTTTTTTTTTGTCTCATTTCTTTACAGGGTGATAAAGGGTAGTAAAGAGAAAAATAAACACAAAAATATGCGCAACACATACCACAAGTTAACTAGTCTACGTGTGTCACTTTGTTTTTTTACTCATCTAAAGTTATCTTTAAGTCATTTATTTACACTGAAAAGTTAGTTGGCTTCAATGGTGCTCAGTTACTACATTGCAACACAAACTGTTGAAGAACATGTCAAACGTTTTGATTATTCTTGATACATTTTTTGTGGGGTTTTTTTGTTGTTTTTTTTTTAAGCTGTGGTTTTTAGTTTTCTTGAAAAACAAAATGCAAACACATTCCAGTAGTAAGCCGCGCCTTGTTGAGCGGGAACAGTTGGAGAAGGTCCCTGCTGTACAAATACTTGGCTCACACTGTCAACCGGACTCGTGTTTATTTACAGCGGGGTAGGAGCCTCGCAGAACGAGGGGGGGAGCAGACGCAGACAGGTGAGAGGCGGAGAGGGTCGTGTTTGCCGCTGTTTTCAAAAATGGAGAAGATGTCTCAAAGAGGAGTCTCCTCACCAACAGGTCTGACTGTGCTTGGCTCCGTTGACCTCTATCAGGGTCAGTGCATTGGAGAAAATTAAAAAGGGCGGGCAGGCCAGCACTGGTTCCTCTGTACATTCAGTGGGTAGAGCCAAAGGTTGTACCCCACCTCAATCGGTTTAGCTCTCACCGATCTCCTTTTGCTCCCCTTTGACCCAGCCTGCGAGCTGCCCTCTTTTTCATGCAGTTTTAGCTTGACAGACAGATGTATGGCAACGTATCTTAAAACAAACCCCTTTTTATGCTATTGAATCAATATCTCCCAAAAGGAAAAAAAAGGAAAGAAAACACATCAAGAAATTTCTTTTCAGCACCTCAAGAAAGTGCCCTAGAGGCTTACAAAGTGTCTAGAAACTCCTAAGCACTTAAGTTTACCACATCTACATGTTTGAAGTGATTACAACCCCAACTCAGTCTCTTCTTCAGCATACGAACAGTGCATTTCTCATAGTTTGGCTCAAATTGGGGGTGAAGGAAGGACACTAGCCGGGTGCAAGTGGGAGGGCTGGAGGGGGAAGCAGGACATGTCTGCACTCATCCTGTGGTTTTATACAGATAACCAGGACAGATCTGAGTACGTGCCTGCCGACCCCTGCGGGTGCATGCTCAGATCATAGAAAATATCAGATTTTTTTTTTTCTTCTTAAAACTATGATTACAAAAGTTATTCTCGTTTTCTGTCAAGTAAACACTACATGTGCATTACGTTGACCTGCGATTGGAGGGAGGAACAAGGATTCGGAATGTTCCCCTCTTTGCTTTTGCAATGCATAGTTTGCAACTCTAAACTAGATTATGTGGTTTGAACCTTAATGAGCATGCAAGAGTCTGTAATACCGGTCAAATAGCAGCCTTATGCTTTACGGCTGACCCTACAGAGGAATATAATGAATGGCAACTAGCGTACTTTACAATAGCCGGCTTTCCACTTTCGGAAAGTACACAATAAATCCAACATGAAAGACATTAACTTTTCATCTCTGAATACATCGCTGTGGGTAGCCTTGTCATTCCAGCAAGGTTTCCTACACTGAATCTCTTTGTCCATTAATTTTTTTTTTTTTTATTTAAAGAAAATAATGGGGGGGGGGGGGAAACAACAGCAATCCCCCATACCCAGCCAAAAAATATCTACCCACAAAGATTACATGAACAATACTAGACCTTCAAGCACAACATGGGTTAGTAACACTAAAACCTCCAGCACATTTGGATTCTCGGAGGAAATCTTCAAAGAATCACCAACAGTGTCCATGTGACAGCAGATACCTAATGGTGGGGTGTGGGGGGTTGGGTTTCTCATCACTTCATTCTGCCTCCACCTCCTCTCCACCAGCATCTACTTCTTCTCCTTCTTGGTGGACTTCTTCTTGGAGGCGGGGGTCTGGGCGGCCTTTGGAGGCTCAGCCTGTGCCGAGGCCTGAGGCGGAGGCAGCGCCTGCTGCGTGGCCTGCTGGGCCGTGGCCTGCTGCTGCTGAGGATTGGAGGTGAGGGTGGCCGTGCTCCCGGGGATGTACACATTCTGGCGGTAGTCGGGGACGTGCTGCAGGGTGAACTGGGGGCTGTAGCGGGTGCTCAAGCCCATGGTGCCGGGCCCAAGGGTGGCTGTCGCCTCACTTACTTCTGGGGAGAACAGAGACAAGAGTTTGGGGGATGACGGGGGGCAAAGACAGAGGAGGAGGAGGAGAAGAAGGGTGGAACGTGTTAAAAGTGCTGGAAAGTTATACGGCGACGGTGTTAAAAGAAGCGGTGAGTAAAAAAAAAAAACATGGCAGGAAAAAAAGAGCAATACCTAAGCTAAATCAATGTGATGTGAATGGAAGTAAAAGCCGACCACTGAACAAAAGGAGAAACGGTGCAACAAGAGCAGAAGCATGCTTGTTTGTGTCATCCGCTCTGTACCGGGCATGCTCTGTGTCTTTAGCTGCATGACGTAGCTGCTCTGCTCATAATTCTCCCAGAGCCCCTGCATTGCAGAGCCAGAAACACAAATGCTCCCTCCCCCATCCTGAAGCTCCTCTTACACCATATAAACATACATATGCTGACAAAAAAAAATCTCAGATTTTTCGTGAAATCCTTTTTAAAGAGCAAAACTAATGCTAAAAACAAAATTAGCTCCGGTCAATGCATGGAACAATAAGGTTAAGCAAAGAGAGGAAAAATTACCTTCAGTGTTTTTCAACAGTCGCTGTTTACCCTTTCCTCCCTGATCACTGTAACTATTCAATCTGTCCAACCTTGTGCTGATATTCATCTAATCAGATTTTTCTCCTTCAGCTTGGATTTTCCTTTCAGTGGAAAATAAAATCCACACAACATCCGCTGTGATGTCCAAGATTGGAGTGTGAGTTTCTCAATGGAAGGAAATATGATTTGTTAAAATAACACTGGAAACAATGACTTTAGTACATTTCCTGATTGGTTTTCTTACTCTGTTTTCTGCGAATATGATCAATATTTTCCATGACGTATCAAATACGTGCCAGGTCAGTAATGACTCTACATGCGAATCTGCTGTTCATTTGTACAATAGGAACAAGTACTAGAATGATAATTGCTCCTGGGTGTCCCTGGAGCTCTGCTTATGTTAAAACACTTTACGGATGTGTGCAGTAGAAACACATCGTGGTTGTGTTTTTAAAATCAACACTGTACTGCAGAAAGGACAACAACTACAGGTACTCATGTCCGCTGTCTGACTTTGGATACTTATTACCACACGACCTCAAAATGGAATTTTTTCCAGTGTGGACAGAGTGAGCTTTATCAATGAACGAGTCTGGCTGGATGCTGTCCGAGCAAACAGAAAGGGACACAAACAAGCACTTCCCACGCATCCATGTGCATACGAAGAGAAAAAAAGACCAGCAGGGAAGGGATAGAAAAGAGAACGATAATAGCTGCGTTTCCATTGGCCACAGAAATGTGTCAATTGAAATTGGGAAAATAAATCGGCTTAATGGAAACTTTGAACAATTTTGAGACAAAGTTTTTGATAAGTTTCAGAATGGATGTATTTCGCAAAACTGCAATGGAAACACTTTTTTCACATCGTACGACTCACGTGATCAACAGTCAGATGTTAACTGGCAAAAACGACAAAGAAGGCAAAAGGAAGTAGTTGGAGGATGATGGTTTGTTTTTGTTTGCTCTCACAGCATCGCAAAGTTTATAAGAATTTGTGTTATTCAAATGTGTTGAATCCATAACTCCATATTTAAAATTGCCGACTACAGTTTTCCCAAAACGCAGCATGCGTAGCATCTCCCTTTTCCCTTCAATGCCTGAATAAGACGCCAACAATCTCCTCTGATGTCTGATAGATGATGAGCGCCAAAAGGCATTTCTGAGTTATGAGTATATCTCATGTAACAGTTTACATCAATTTTTTAATGTCGTATTGTGTGAACAAGCTTATCAACGTGTGACTTTAATTCAATTTATTATTTAACGGAAACACCGCAATTACAAAATTGTGTTTTTTAAATTTTTTTACATTAGCAGAATATTGACAAAATACTTGTGCACATTAGTAACGGAAACACAGCTGGTGACAAGGTGTCAGACTCACCGTTGGCTGCTGCCATCAGTGCCTGAAGCTGCTCGGCTTCGGTTGGGGGCTGGGGCCACGGGCCAGTTCCCATTGCTACCTCAGGTCCTCCAGTTGCCCTAGAGGTAAAAAGAAAAGTAACAAAAAAAAACAGAGAACACCTAAGTAAGAGGTAGATAATCCTCAGCAGTTTGTGTGTTTAGCATAATGCCTTCACAGTTGGTGCGTTACCATGTAAAAGCAAAGCAGCTGATGGTGGACTCAGCAAGAACAACAAGAAGGACGTATAGTTTACAGAACAGGGCGAATTTCAAACACCTGTGAAGGCATGAGCAAATACATATGCAGACAGCAGCCAGCAGTGTGTTGGTGCATTCACGGTACCACACTCACTGGTATGCCAGTGAACACTGAGCCCTCTAGTAAATCCGACTAAATATTTAATGATTCCTTCTTTAATGAAGGAAGTAGCAGTCTGCAAGGTGACACACGTGGCGCCCATTGAGCGCTGAACATTTCCATGTGGGCAAACTTTGTCTTCAAAGCCTGGTTTATTTGCATGTGAGGTGAACAAAGGAGAAAGCAGACCTTCACCAACCAACTCCCCACATGTGCAACAAACCGACATCCACTCAACAGAGAACTAGATCACAAAACTCTAATCCTGCTCGGACTACTGCTGCTAAATAGCAAATAAAGTGTTCATATTTAGCTTTTTTAAATTTTTTAAAGGTAGCATACATTATATAATACTATGCAGATGACGTTCTGTTATTTGCATACGATTTGTTTAACCCCGGCTTTAGAAGTGCTGGACAAATAAATCATAGAACAGCAAAGGGACTTTCTTATTAGCAAAGGAACTACCAATATATGTGGAACATTGATTTTTTTATGTACTTTTCACTTAAGAACACTTAGCCAAGGACCATGTGTTAAAAAAGGGTTCATAATAAACAGCTAAAGCAAAAATGTATACACAGCACATTGAGAAGGCTTTAGGCACCTGAGATATCAATATAGATTCTTAGGAAGTTACATAGAGCATGTTTTTGAGCACAATCATGTTTTCTGTGCTATATAAAGATATTCCTAAGATATTCCTGGTCATTTTGTCCCATCGTCATTTCATACCCTAATTTGGTATCAGGCCAATGATACACTAAAGTAAGATGCAATATAACTTTTTGAAAAATTGAGACAAAATTATGTGAAATTATACATGGGAGTTGGGCGTTTTTATGACAATTTGTGTTTGCAAATAAAAATAATATATTGATGCACAATGGTTTTAAGTACATTTTTGCAAAGTCACATCTATAGTTATGAAAATGGAAGTGGGAAGAGACAAAATAGCATCATGTGGATATGAAATGGAAATATAAATTGAGGATGGGCAAATTGAGACCCTGTAAAAATGGTTTGAACTGCATGCAGTCTGAATTTTGAGTTGTTTTATGCTCACATGAAGACGTTATGAGAGATTAAATCAAGATAACTGAGGTGAGGTCAGTATCGCAACTACTGAGGTGTTTTAAACAGTGTTGGTCTAATTTTTTTGATGTCATCCATCACTAACAAATTTAAAGAATTTCAAGCCTCGTTTCTAAAGTCATCAAATGATCTTAAGTGCCTCAAACCTTGGAGAGATAAACACAAGGGATGTTCACAGGAACAAGTTTTTCCTTGTTCCTCCAAACCACCTAAAATACCCTTATATACAGAGATAAATTAGTCCTGTCCATGATATTAAAAAAAAAATAAATGGCCAAAATAAAAGGAATTCCAACACAAAACCTAAGGCCTTCTCAGAGAACAGGTCACCAGTTTGTGCAGCAAAAAAGTGGTTCTCAGTTTGATGCCAGAGACAGAGAGACAGAGAGAAACATCTATGTCCTGTGCCAGCCAGACAGAGTAAAAACACAGTGAAGGCGACCATTTTGTGCCTCTTCACACATTTTGAGATAAAAAGGAAGGCTTGGTTCAAGCTAATTTAACATCTAGTTAGACTTATCACATCCTGTGGTTTGTTGAGCATTTCCTGTTGTTGGGATTATCACTTCCTGACCAGAGAATGGTCCTAAGTGGGCCCTCAATTTCCCTCCACAACCTCAAAGGACATGTTTTTACCAGATCATCTTTTTCAGCACTAATATTTTAATACAGGTTTTTGTTTCCTCTGGAAGAGGACTTCTCCAAATATGAAACATCCATTTTTATTATCCTCTGCTTCATCATAAATCACAGAGAAAAGCTGCATGTGGTGGTGTTGGGCTACAACATCACAGACACACATCAAAGGCAGCAAAGAAGGAGAGGAAAAAAGGAGCTCTTGGACTTAAATGACTAAATGTATAGCACACATACAAGGCACAGCAAATCTACAAAAAGAAAAAAAAACACTGCACAGAAATATGTCACAGTCCTTGTTCTATGCCACAGCAGGCATTGTGGCCTATTTGCACATCGACCAACAACAAACCCCATCAAACTTTCAGGGAGGCTATCAGAAGCTATGGGTTAGGTACAACTACACACAGCACAGCACTCGACTGCAGTGCACTACCTAAAGTTTTTTCTGTCACTCTCTGCCCTTAGGAGAGGATCCAACTCTTTTTCCATTGATGGATTAGATGGGTTTAGCTGAACCCCGATCCGCTGCTAAGGACAGAAAGCGACCGCACAGAGTCTAAGTCTAAGCTGGTACCTTGTCCCATTCTTCGGCGTCCATCGTATGTGTGTACCGTATGGCATGTGGGGACTAAAAACACAACAAGTTATACAAACTGAAAGAACCACTGTGTATTTAGCTGGAAGCTGGGGTTAATTTAAAAGTACATCTCTGAAACAAGTTGTTCTGTTGCATAAACTTTAAATTTCTTTCAGTTTTGTCAATTTTGGGACTGTGCAGTCAAAATCTAATACTCTTCTGGCTTGTGCCTTTCTAGCTATACAAGTTTTGCCTCAGGTGGTGTGTTTCAGGGAAATGACTTGACTTATTCAACTTGTACGCAATCATTGCAAGAAAAACTGTTTTAGCCCACACAACATGGGCTAAAACCAACATTCATGCTTAGAAAAAACGGTACATATGAAACAGAAAAAAATCTCACACCTGATCTGCTGCATTTTAACAGGAAGGCTAAGAAAAGCTATATATATGTCAGTGGAAAATGAAGATAGAGAAAAATGGATAAACACGATATCCAACCCCCACTCCCCCAGCTCTGGTCAGTGTCGCTCATCAGCAGTACTGAGTGATGGCGCACAGACTCGGGGAGAGCAGGGAGGAGAGACGCAGCAGGGGAGGGGGAGGGGAGTGCAAGCTGTGGCAGCCATTTTATAAGGCAGCCTGGAAACAAGCAGATTCTGCTACACGTCTCCAGACTCCTGAATGAGAATCTCTTTCAGTGGAATTTGACCAAAGTCGATGCTAACATGCAGCTCCAAGTCAGACTAAGACATTCACGCCGTCATGACTTCTTAATCAACCCCCTGCAGGCGACTTTCCTCATCCGTTTTTATTCTTTGATCTTCATGTTGAGCATCAACGCTGGGGCTGATATTAATTAACACTTTAGCTGTGTGCGTGCATGCAAGTGTGTGTGTCTCAGTTTAACTTACCCACTAGGTCCAGGTCTCTGTCCTTGTGTGAAGCGCCAGTCATTGTTGGGGGGCTTTTGCTGCAGAGAGAAGAAAAGATGCAACATGAAATGGACACTTCATTGCAGCAATGGCAAAAATGCTTCTCAGTTTTGTGTGTGTGTTTGTGTGTGTGTGTGTGTGTGCACTTTGAGCTTGAAACATCTGCATGTAATAAAATCTGTGCATGTGTGCTTGTGGAAGAGTTCCCTTTTGTGTAATTCAGGAAACATGAGGCTCAACAAAGAGTTACAGATGGCTACAAATGTGTTGACGTTCAGGCGGCCATGCTGTTGTAAAGGCTGTGAGGCACAAATTGCAGCACAGGAGCACATTTACACTGTAGTGCAAGGTTTATACAGACAAGGAGAAAAACAGGTAGTTCAAGAAGAAATGTACATGATCAGTGAACCACACAAAAAAAGAGGTGTGAAACTCTAAAAAGCATCAATGCAGCCAGAAGACAAAAACATGATAGCTCGATAGCTAAGATCTCAGAAAATAATTTCTAGTTGATGCAAAAGGACACAGGAAGTCCTTGGACATTCATTTAGTTTGTGTTCAGAAATCAAAACAATCCATGTTCCAAACTAAGCCTGGAGGAAGGACTGTCTTTATACATCCCTGCTATTCTTTATTAATATCTTCAAGCCCACTGCACTCCTGTCCATCTCTACTCGTGTCGTTATGTCTTTCCCATCTCTCCTGCACTCTCTCAGCGTGCAGTGATGCGGTGAATAAAAAACCCTGGCTTAGCTCCAGACTCTACTGCCTAATCGACACGAGAGCTCCCGGGAGAGAGAGTCCAGCAGCCCAATGTGCTGCATTATTAAAAAAACTGTCCTACCCGAGGGAATGATGGAAAGATACAAGGGAGCAGGGCAAAAACAAACACGGAATCCAGCAAAACATTCCTACACAGAAGGGAAACAATATAAAACTTTTGAACATCATGACCAAAAAGAGGATATAGTAAATAAATGTGTAAGCGAATGGAAAATGATTCATAGAATCAATGGTCGTTCAATTAAAAAGTGCCTTGAAATGCTTATAGAATAAAGTGAACCAAGTTCATGTCAACTTTTTTTTAAAAATGATTTTGTGTATTTTGAGGAATGTTAAAAATGATAAAGGTGCACAGATGAGGACGTATGTGGCACTATCCTCAAGCAATTATTAATATTACAAATAGAATACCTATAACAGGACTGGGTCCATGCAAAGAAGCTAAAAAAAAACCAAAACATTTGCAAATATGCGTGGGTATGAGAGTCTGTCTGAGTTGTAGGAAGAGTAAAAGATGAGCACAGACCAGTGGGACAGAAAGCACACTCACTCAGAAAAAATATTTGTCAGTTTTTAGCTTTGATCAAACCAAATGTATATCGTGCTGGGATACTACACTCTGTTTTAACTGTATGTCTCTCCATGCATTATGCTTTTCTGTGTTTTTGCATGTAGGTGTGCAAAATTCAAAACGATGCATTTCTATTCTATTTGGCACATAAAAGATTATTTCAGTATGTTTTCATTAGTAACTTGAAAACTTTCCTTCGTTGCACTATTTTTTCAACAAGCTACCAGTGCGGCAGCACAGATTTCAAGGCTTCAAAGGATTATCTGAGAAATCTACATCTCATCTCATCTAAAAGAAAAGCACATTAATTTGCATAAAGGTCTGTGTCTAAAGGTTGGATAAATAGGACACAAGCACTCAGTTCAGAGCAAGACTCACAGAGCTCTGTGGACCAAGATTCTCACTTAACAGACAATCGAACTAACCTTGAAGTCATCTGTCTTTTTCTGTACATCTTTCACTCGAGTCAAAGAGCTCAGAGGCATCTCTAGGTTAATTACAACCTGACCGTGTTGCACCTTAATGCTATTTGAGGACTACCGTGTGTCGAGCTGGATTTAGCTGGTTTAAGTTAAATCATGAGGACACGACACACCTGAAAGCTGTCTAGCAAGTGGGTGAGCATGTGAGTGTGACCCATGCAAAACAACTTCTCCAGACAGTTGTTCTGTTTGTATGAACCGACATACAAACAGCTCAATCCATTCTGTTCAACATCTGGAAAGAGAAACATATGCATGTACAACACACTCAGTTTCTAGACGTGAAGCAATTGTGTTGATTCAAGCACAACATAAATGTGAGATTTATGAGATACATGTTGGGATTTGTGATTATATTCACTAAATGCAACCATAATCATGCCAAATACAAGAACTACCAGCATTGTTCTACTATTATTTCAACATTTAATAGCTTGCAAAGTTTTATAAGAGGGCATCTTTTGTACAGTAATAAATGAAAAAACAACAATGGCTGAAACAAAAAAAATCAAAGTTTGAGTTTTACTATTTTTCAGTTTAATTGAGTTTGACCCATGCTCAGAGTCAACCAAGATTATTTCCAGTCAGCCATGAGAAAGTTTAGATTGTGAGAAAGATGAGTAAACTAAACTGAAAAAAATTAACTAAAGCAGCTTCACGTAAACCAAACATACAACATTAGTCAATACTAATATAGGCCTCTGACCCCTTAAAACGCACACATTATCAAACAAACTGTGCCAAAACCAAACACTGTGGATTAATAAGCGACACAAAGAGGAGCAGTGGGAAGGCACTACGGCCCCCAGGGTCCTGCTAAAATTATACACAACCACAGGACTACTCATGCACATAAACACCTCTACTAAGGACGACTGCTCTAAAGCCATTAAGGCCTGCGCCTTCTGTCACTGTGGCACACGTGCTTAAAGCCAAGCTTCCTTTTCAGTTTTTCTGTCCCTTCATCTCTTTTCCTCTGCTGTCCTCATTCCACACGTGTCACTAGAGCAGGGAGACAGATGGCATCCTCCTGGCCTCGGGTACAACACAACTCAGATTAGTCTTAACAAACTTGCATGAAAAGGAAGAATACTATACATGCAAACAGGAGACAAAAAAAATGTTGAAAAGGTTTTTAAAAAAAGAAAAAAAAAAGCTCTAGGAACAGTAATGACTGCACAGGATAGACGGAGCATGAGCTGCTTCACATGTGCTGCTGATTCCTGGAACCAATCAGCAGAAGTTCAGAGGACAACAGGAAGTCAGGGTCGGGCCAGTGACCCCACAAATTCCTGTTTTTAGTGACTGCTTTATTCTTTGGCCGTTACTTCCACCTATCTGGCCATTTTCCTCTTCACCCCCACCATCCGTCCTTCTGTCATCCTGTTTCTCTCTGTCTCCACTCCACTGAGTGGACTCTGCAAGACCCATTTCATCTGGATGTCTTCTCCTCCCCATCTGTTACAAACACTAATGTTTCCCCCTTTACTTTTCTATTTGACCCTTTGCTGAACTAGCTTCCGTCATCTTCATTTGCCTTCATCGTTCTCCTTTTTGTCTATGCAGAAAGCTCTCCGCTATTTAAATAGATTCAAGCCAGTGATAGTAGTAAGTTAGATAAAAATATTCAACAAGTCCACTTCAAACAAAGTAGCTGTGTAGATTAGGGGAACCTCAAAAATCCTCTCACAATACAAAGAAAATTTTCAAACTAAAGTGACACTCGCATAAAATCCAGCAAAGACGCATTTTGCTGTACTGCCGTAATTCAAAATGAACAAACTAAATGAAAATTGCTTTTGGAGATGTTTAAAAGACATTTAAAATGGAATGATCTACAATAAAACTCAGTAATGCTCTTATCCCAACTGTGGATGGCTTCCTCTCACCTCAATGGCTGAGTTCATGAGGTTCTTCCTGCTGAGCGTCATGTTGAGCGTGTTGTTATGACTCAGCATGGGTGTCTTCATAAATACAAAGTCACTTCGACTAGATATAGTGGAGTAGCAGGGCCGATAGGTGCGTGTGTGTGGCTCCTGGGGCCCTCCCACCACCTCCATGTATCGTATGGGTCCGTCAGTGTTGAGCTGCAGGTGCAGGTCTTTGCTGGGCCTCTGATGGTAGCGGCTGGACCTGTGGCGGCCATAGCAGCAGCATTCAGAGTCTCCCAGCCCTGAGTCACGGTGCCTTAGGCATCGCACCATGAGGACCATAAATGTGATGAAAGCTACACCCGACACACATGCAAGAGAGATTATGAGATATAAAGTGATGTTAGACATTCCGTTGTGGTGGTAGAAGTGGTTGTGTCGAGTGTTCACTGGAACATCAATGGCTGTGGCTTTCTCATCCACAGTTACGGTGATGTTCACCGAGCTGGATCTCGGTGGGTCACCATTGTCCTGGATGATGACCGTTATGTCATAAGTAGAGCCCTCTTCCTCTTCGGCCCATTTGCGGGCTGTGCGGAGCTCCCCGGTGTGGGCCCCGATACAGAACATGCCAACATTTGGTCCAGGAGCGATTGAGTAAAACAACCACGCATTGTGCCCGCTGTCTGCATCCACCGCCACCAGTTTATTTATGACGTGGCCCGGGCCAGCAGATGGGGGTACAGTGAGCTGCAGTCTTTTGTCTTTTGGGTAGGAGGGATAAACAATCACTGGCGAGTTGTCATTCACATCCACAACAAAGACATGGACAGTGACGTTTGTTGCCCGTGGGGGTTCCCCTGCGTCCCGGGCCTGCACCTGAATGCAAAAGGCATTGAGCTTCTCATGGTCAAGGGAGCGCATGCTGTATATGTGGCCAGTTTCAGGGCTAATGTACACATAAGAAGAAATAGGCGAATCTTGGACCATGCTGGGAAGGATGGCATAGGAGATCCGAGCATTCTCACCCAGATCGGAGTCTGTGGCAGAAACAGCAGCGATCGGAGAGCTTGGGGAATTGTTCTCAGGGATGTCCACAGAGTATGAAGGCTGGGAGAAAGATGGAGCATTGTCATTTACATCCAAGAGCTTCACTACAAAGGTTTTCTGAGATGAGAGAGGTGGGGAGCCAGCATCAGTCGCCTTGATGACCACTGTGTACTCTGGGACAGTTTCTCGGTCCAGGCTGCCAGCGGTTTTCAAACTATAATGGCCATCGAAGGCTAAAACAAGTTTAAATGGCAAGCCTGGTGGAATGGTTAATGTAACCT